TACTACTTGTAGTGTTGCTTTTTGTCAGGTTTCTTGACAAATATGTACTCGATATTGATAAGTGCTTATCGAAAATTAGCCATTCTTTCTGAGGACTATTTTTTGTCATGCTTCAGTAGAAATAAAAAGCTAAATTGTCAGTAAAGACTACAAAAGATATGGATTCAATGTGTATGACAAGCAAATAACTCATAACTATTATTTTATATAGTGTTACTACTTATACCTCCTTTTAATTGTAGTTAGTGCATTAAAGAAACTTTCGGAATTCTACTATCCACTAATTTTAAGAGTATACTGTGAATGCTAATGAAGCTTTTCGTATCTGATTATAAATCTGGCGTTAGCAGATGCCCATCTCATAAACTGTGAGCACTTCTATAGAAATAATTTGTATGATCATGTTATACACTGTTATGAAATAAAATATGTAGGCTGAACATTTTTATTGGCACTAAAAAGTGGTTTCTTCACTTCCATCTAGTGATTTAGTGATAAATTTAAGCAATTCATGTGTTTCTCTTAGCATATAAACATGACTGATCTATACTCTTTCTAAAGGACTTGCACTTAAGTGTCCTTATTTGTAAATGGAGTAAACAAAGAGGTTATCCTAATACATTCACCATCATAAAAGTATGTTTTTCCTGTCTGATATATCAGAGATATTGAATCTTTTTTATACAGTTTGTATAATATAGATTATCACTAGCATGCCTTCATTGACTAATTTTAGTAGGACTGTTATGCACTTATCATTCCTTTTGAACCTTGTTATCAGAGACAGTTTTGAAGCCAGTCACATATCTGCATAACAGAGTGACAGTCAATAAATTTATTGACAGACATTAACTATTTTTATAGTAAAGGTTAAGTCAACACATTAGTGTACTTTGCTAGATGTCTGTTCATTTTGAGGAGTTCAGCTATATATCCATCTTCAATGTCTGAACTTCTCTTCTGCGTTTGTGAAACTCAATCGCTCCAGGATCAGTGGTGACTTTCTGTTTATCCACTCGTTCAATGTTGGAAACTCAATGCAAGTAATAATTGTGTTTTGATTCAATTGGCTTGTTTAGAATCCTAGCCAATTTTTTTCATGTAAATTTATTTGTAAAAAATTAAATTCCATGAAGAAGACTCACAAACAGAGTTACTCATGTCATTTTGACCATTTTCAAAAGCGAAATATAATCACATCATGCAGCAATTTTTCTTAGACATCTAGTGTTTGTTCATAATTATCAGCACCTGCGTAAGATCCAAGCAACAGTAGGGATGTGGCGGAAATAGGAAGTCAAGTACTGTTATTGTTTCTAGCAATGTTTCTTTTCAGATTCTTGTTGCACTTCAATTTTGTGTCAACATTAGATGTGCTCATATATACTACTTTCATATGATTCATGAAGGTATCTTGTGTTCAGTTTAATAAATATTTACATTTGATATGCTGTAGTCTGATTTAGGCTGACAAAATACTAATCAGTCATCACACCTCCAGAACAAACATGAATTTCAAAAGCAAAGCGCAACATGTTTGCAACAAGACATCCACTAGTGTTGTTTAAAGAAAAACATTAAGGAATCATTTCTTAGAATAATTAAAGTAGTAGTCAGAATATGACAAGAAGCTGGAGAAATTCACCAATTTTCACAATCTATAAAGTAGGCAACAAATCTTCTTGAATTCAATAACCACAGGGGAGTTAGTCTGAGAAATATATTTTCTCATGACTATTTGAGAATAAAAGCAAAATCAGAAGAAACCTTGCAATTTAGAAAGCTCAGATACAGATGGATTGTTGCAACGTTTCAGCAATTTGAAAATTCCCATTCAGTCATAGAAAAGAAAAGGCGTTCAGCAAGGAGTTACTCTTTTCGGCGATATCATTCTCAAGCTGTACAAACCGCAAATTTACAGTAATTTTTCTTGGCAACAAAAGGAATATTTCCAAAGATGTGTTAATGCAATTGTTAATTTTTTGACAACAAATTACGTAATTTAGAAGGCGTTAATCGGTTAGAAACTAAAATAAATTTACAAAAGTATGTTTGGTGACGTCATCTAATTGCTAGGGTTCAATGAAAAATGAATGAGAGTCAAGTTAATAAGCTGAGTAGAATTCACTTAAAAATAAACGAAAATGGAGTTAACAACAGTCGTCATGAGGGTAGAGATTTAATAGAGGGTGGGGGTAGAAAATAATGCAATTAAGAAACAGACAAAGAAAGAGGTAAGACAAAATTACGTATTTGGTGTTGAGATAGATCAGGACCATTGTAGATTTAGTGACTGAACAAACTTCTTTTGTATGCAGAGTTCAGGATTCAATATGTGAATTGCCATTGCTTCTGCAGTTTGAAGAAGTTTAATTCGTACTCTTTTGGCAAGATTCCCACGTATTGTGTAGATAACTGAGAAGTTGTTTTGTGGGTTTGCTTGGTGTCCGGATTCGATCAAGTGTTCTAGGATAGAGCTGTGGCGGGGGTATCTTCTTTCTCCTTTATAAAACCATGAAGGTAAGTGTTCGCTGATTCGTTTGGATAGCAAACTCTGGGTACGGCCGACATACCTAGCTCCACATGAGCAGGTGAATTGGTAGATGCACATTGATGAGGCCCCCAGTGGAAGCTTATCCTTCACGATTAACGCCTTCTAAATTACGTAATTTGTTGTCAAAAAATTAACAATTGCATTAACACATCTTTGGAAATATTCCTTTTGTTGCCAAGAAAAATTACTATAAATTTGCGGTTTGTACAGCTTGAGAATGATATCGCCGAAAAGAGTAACTCTTTGCTGAACGCCTTTTCTTTTCTATCACAGATGGATTGGTTGAATAAATCTTCAGCATTTAATAGGTTTTAGGGAATAGACATACTTATAGTAGTAGTTTGGCTGTGAACATTGTTGCAAAAGCATGTTATTGCTGATCAAAGCACTCGTCTCTAACTCAGGAAGATATTTAAGAAAAGTGATTTCAGCCAAAACTGCTTACCGTTACCGATGTTATTTAATTTCGTCACAGACATGCTGATGTATGTGAGTTCACCTAACTTCAATATCTCGGGAATACCTGATGAAGGAAAATCTTATTGAATTGAAGTATGGAGTCAGCACAGCCTCTGCCTACAATGTCTTGAATGTAGGGTTAATTTAATTTAATTTTTTTCCTTCACGTTCCCCAGTGGAACATAGGGCTTCAAGCTAGTTGGTTTGAAGTTTCTGTAGCAGTATTTATTTTACAGGATGGGGTTGCTAGCCTCATGCCCAACCTTTCCTCTTTACCAGAATTATTTCTGGCTCAGCGAGATAAAGGAGTGCGTCGGCCGGGGATCGAACCCCGGACCATGTGCATGGTCGGCGAGCGTCCTAACCCCCCTGGGTTCATTTATTGGTCCATTAGTTCAAACTGAGGCGTACTGACCTATAGTTTAATTATAGAGAGTAAAGCGACAGAATACTTTAAAAACCTCACATTTTCAGGAAATTATATCACTCTAATAGATTAATTAGTCACGAAATTTCTGAACCCATACAAAAGGCTCATTTAGCATTCTGCAACTTGTATCACCTCTGGGCTGGCTAGTGTGATATCCACCTGCTCATCAAATGACATGTGTACTAAGTAACAGTTTGCTCTTCTTCATTTTACAGTTGTGAGTAACTGTTGGTAAAAGAAAGATATGACGAAACTATAAGCTTTTGATCATAGGTGTGCTCTAGTTAGATGGAATATCATGACAGAATATACTGAGATGCGTAGATCGTTAAGCATTTAGGCAATTTAGTCAATAAGATTGTTCATGTTCATTCACTGAGGTGTTTCAGTTGTCTGTTACACACTTGAAGTAACTATTTTATTTGAGTGATTTTAGCACTCACTAAAGTTGTTAATTGTTGGTCTTCGCTCGGTGGAGAGGTGTCTAATTGAGGTACTAACATTGGATACGAAGAATCAGTCATGACATGAAGTAAACGGTTCACAGTGGCACAGATGTATTCTCATTCCATCTTCGAAATTTTTAATACCCTCAGTAATCTTCTTTGTATTATTTTCTATCTTACTCATCTTTCTTCGTTGAAGTGCCATTCTACTTCTTTTCTCTTTGTTTTCATGAACAGCAGGTACTTGAAATGATGTGTCTTTGTGTTAAATTTAAATTTTATTCATCAGTCATAAATGAAATTTGTTGGCGAAAGAATTTTTAAAAATGCAGTTTATTAAAGTTAAGAAACTAATGATATGTGTTGGCCTTAATAATGTAATGAAGTTATGGCTGAAAGTGAGGAACAACAGTCACCGGTGAATAGGAATCAACGCGCTTCACCCGCTGTCCTCACTCTATCGAGGGACTACTCGTTTTGAGGGCTAACAAAGTAAACGAATACTCCAGCCATTATTTAAGTTGCCATCTAGTGACCTGAAAATATTCCTATAGAATTCCCACACTCCATGTCGCACGAAAGAGAAAAAAGATATTTAAGGGAACAATAATAAGCAGAAGTGTATGGGAGAAAGAGTAGTAACATGAGGAAACAATAAAGTTTAATAGATGTAATGGATCACAAAGAGTGAATGCACTTGCGCCATTGAGAATGATTTTGAGCTATATCACTAATTTTCTCCAGTCATTGGTTCTTAGCATGCATCAGTATTTTTAGAATTCTCTGCCGAAATAAATATGCTGAATACCATGGATGTATGATTTTTGAATTACCGACCACGTTTATTTCATCTGTTAGATGTTAAAAATAGTCAATCAGTAGAACTTTCTGGATCCTAATTTCACACTTGTTGACAGTCTCTTGAATACACATTTGTAGCCTTCAGCAAACAGATTCATATTCATTCTCAGTTGACAAACTTATATCCATTAATTCCTACGAAGCAACGCCTAGCAAATACGAAATTACAGTGTGAATCACTTTGTGTTGTTTAGTTTTGTATAATCACATTGCCTGTACTATGGATACCTTTTACTTTACTACTTTATAGAAGATCGTGTTACACGTAATATGGGCGAATGTTGTATTTGCCTTTGCGATTTGGATGTTGGCGATTTAATCGCTCGTTTGCCATGTTTGTGCATCTTTCACAAAGAGTAAGTAAAATGTCAGAAAATAAACACATCATATTATTTTTTTCTTTTTGTTCATGGATGATATCATTTTGGTGTCGTTGTATGTTGTCACTAAGCTGTTATTGTAGCCTTAAATGGATAATACTTTCTCTAAGAATTCGTTGAAGCCTTTGCTATATATTCAAGTATTATCTTCAGGCGGTCTGTACTGGGTGTAAGCATAAGTTTTCGACTGTATATTTTCAAGTTATAGTATTCTGTTTCCTGCTTGTTAATTCACAGTTGTTATGCATTGCTGCAAAGAACTATTTAAGCATTTAATTATTAATTACAGCCACTTGTCTTCAAAAGTCATTGAATCACTTAAGGTGCTCAACTTTTAAACTTCCACTGACTGAAGCTGAGTCACTGCTAACACCAGACTGACATGTTGGCTATAATAGAAACTGGGGAAATTTAGCAGTTAGTATGAATAGATATGACACCAATCTTTAAATTCAGAGAGTTCCTTTCTAATTTATATTGTAGAACACTAGCCTTTTGAGAAATAATCACAATTGACTCTGGGAAGCTGTGTTAGTCATATGACTTGGGATTAATCACGCTGAAATATGTGTTTATTCATTTGATATTTCCTGCTTGTGAATTAAGAACACATAGGTCAAAGTGATGAGATACGTTTGAATTAAAATTGCAAATTAATTTGTAATTTGTAACATCTCTTCAATACCGTGCGCTTATTTAGGGGGCAATTACCGACTAAAGGTCAAAGATTATTATTATTTAATAAAAATAAAAAAGATAAATCAAAGTATATGAGAAATAGCAATGTGTGAAAAATCGTCAATAATCTTACGTAATAGGCGAAGTTGACAACTAATTACTCAAGTGATAAATAGTCATTCAAAGATAATTGATAAGGAATAACTGTACGAAGAATTGAAACTGGGTCACAAATAAAATTACATAGAATTCACTAAGCAACAAATCGAAAAAAGTACAATAAAATGAACACTGAGTCGGTGGTTGCTTGTCTTACAGCTTTTTATACCTCGTATTGTATTATAATTCATTTCTTGAATTTTCCTTAATGAAACTCATATGTTGATAACATATGTCTTGTACGACAGCTTATACAGTTACATTACGATTCCAAGCTATATGTTGATAATACTTGTTTATTTATCAATTCCACTTTTTAAATGATTACTTTTATGATGTAGATTGTTGGCGTACTTGTTTATCACATGCAACCTCTCACTAAATATATACATACATATATATCCCTTTCACATGATACACGTATTTTTGTCCGAAAAGTAGATTTTTATGCATTTCTTCCAAACGTAAAACTAGAGTATACGTAAAGAAAAATACAGATAAAAAAATATTCGTAGATAATATGCTGTTTCAACTAAGTGTTGATTGTTAACTTGAGTTACTTGTAAGATCACGCCATCATTTCATGAGTTTCATTCATTCATTCATTTGTCTTTTAAAGTTAATTACTACTTTTAATATCATTCGTTGAATAATTGATATTCATCACATGAATTATTTAAAAAGGTATTAAGAATAGTATTTTTTTTTCTTCCTTCACGTTCCCCAGTGGAACATAGGGATTCAAGCTAGTGGCTTTAAGTTTCTGTAGCAGTGTTTATTTTATAGGATGGGGTTGCTAGCCTCATGTCCAACCTTTCCTCTTCACCAGCATTATTTCTGGCTTAACGAGGTAAAGGAGTGCGTCGGCCGGGGATCGAACCCCGGACCATGTGCATGGTCGGCGAGCGTCCTAACCGCTATGCCACCGACGCATAGGAATAGCATGAAAAGTTATTTTTGAAGAGGAAGAGCGATGTCTGTCAGTCTTTGAAGCCTGAATATACTTCTCGTGTGTGTGCTTAATTAATTCTTGTATTCTTCTTTATAGTCTACCCTTAATGTTTCCTGGGCTACTTAAGAAAGGCTATTGCTAAACCAACTCGTTAATATTGTTGTAGACAGACACTTGAACTCATGCAAGGAATTGATGAATATTATCTTGCCGGACTCTGAGCATTCTCTTTGTACAAATCTTGCCCCTTGCACTTCCTCAGGTAGGACTAGAAGCAATAATAAGAAAATTTATGCTTGGACGACCAAGTATCACTGTTCTACGATATCTTATTTGCACGCGTTTTAGTGTGATGTGAAACGTGTTAGGCATGGGACTACTTACTTATTGTGCAACAGTAAATAAACCTCGTTCTTATTCTTTAATTTATTTTTGTCACTATTTATACTTGATTTTGCATTCATATTCGTATTGACATTAATAATGCAAATTCCATTTTGATTATTTCCCTCCTCACTATGTAATGAAAAGAGAAATTTAGGTGTGATACTTTACTACATCCTGAAAATTCTACATTGTTTTACAATTACTATTTGGAATAAAGCCATTATTGTTATTTTTAAAAACTTTACAACTATAAAAAATATTCTGCGGCTTCTTAACTAGTTAACAAAGTTCTCTTGGAGGTATAGATATTGTGGTGTTTCAACTCACACACATGAACATTGTCTGATCGTTGCACTTCCTACTGGTCTGCAAAACATTAGGTAGCATGAAATGATGCATTGTATTTTGTGTGTTTAAGAAAAGTAAATTAATTGAGTTTACATGTATCAAGCAGTCAATGAAAACTGCATCCAGACGAAGTCACACTCACTCAAAGATTGAAAGGTTTTTACAACTCTACTGAAGTTTATTCTGCAACGATAACGTGAATTTCACTACAACCATAACAATCTTCAGTTTTAGAATTCACAAAGAAACAGCAGTTGAAATCACAGGTGTAGGCAAGACTAAATACTGACTAGTGCTGGTAATTTGATTAAACAATCTTCGATAGGTACGTTTAAATTCCAGGTATGTTACTGTATGATGCAACTTGTTTAAAGACGTTAATTCTACTTATTATTCCTAGAAGTAGAATTAACAAATGGGGAGAAGCATCATAACAGCAAAAAAGAAAAAAAATGTATGAGAAAATTTTCAATCTTATACAGATTAAATTGGTATAATTCCCTTAGGGAGAGAAAATCAATCAATCCGAAGATCCCCTAAAATACGCATATCACAAAATATTTGAATTCAAGTGTTGGTTTGTAGGGATTTGATTGATTACAGGATTTTCATCATGAGCTGACATTAGTTAGAGAACCATTGGAAAACCTGGGAGTACTGGACAGCTGTTTCATCCTAGTTTGGGACTCTTCATCAGTGCGCACCCACTGGGATTCGAACCCAGGACCTTCTGGTTTACAAGGCTAGCTCGTATACCATTAAGCCACTGGGACCCGATCCAATGGCTCATGAATTCTAACTTCTGCCAATTCACGACATAGCGCGACCCCTAGCCAATGTCTTCGGTGAGTATTTTTCCTCACACCCGACCTGCTGCACCCTACTGGTCACGGCTTCTCACTAGAACCCCAGGTAACTACCTACCTGAATAGGGCAAGTCACTAGTGAGCATCTCATTGATAATCAAGTGTTGGTTTGATCTAATAGTTGGTTTTTTATAGTTACATCAGGCTGTACCTTTGTAAACTCTCGAGAGTTTATCACCATAGTTAATATCAGGCATGAAGGTAAAAATAACTGTCTTAAAATAATAGCCAGGTTTATGTACATAGCGTGAAGAAAATTTCTAGCAGTAGACGATTCCTATTCAGAAGCTGTCAATTAGTGTATGTTTATCCATGTCAAAAAATGGTTGCATTATTTTTGCTGTTGAGCATTTTTTGAGTTCATTGAAATCAATCAAGCCTACAGTAGATTCTTTCCAAAGGAAAAATGTTCTCAAGTATTGGTTTGGTAGGGATTTTGTTTTAATTGCATGGAGGATTTCATCATGAGCTGACATCAGTTAGAGAACCACTGGAAAACCTGGGAGTACTGGACAGCTGTTTCGTCCTAGTTTGGGACTCTTCAGCAGTACGCGTCCACCGGGATTCGAACGCAGGACCTTCTGGTTACAAGGTGAGCTCGTAGACCATTGAGCCACTGGGACCCGATCCAATTGTCCTTGAATTCTAACTTCTGCCAATTCACGACATAGCGCGACCATTTCGCAATGTCTTCTTAGATGAGTTACTGCCTCATGGGCGCGTACTGCTGAAGAGTCCCAAACTAGGACGAAACAGCTGTCCAGTACTCCCAGGTTTTCCAGTGGTTCTCTAACTGATGTCAGCTCATGATGAAATCCTCCATGCAATGAAAAATGTTCTGTAGAAGCCGAATTTCTTTTTTGATCACATCCCATGATTTTAATTATTTTATATAAACATCAAGGAAAGGTGTGGGTGAAATATTTTCGGTTACCAGTTATCATTTTATTGATGCTAACATACTTATCTGCAGGCCTTAATACAGTTTATAGTGTATCAAATCAGTCTGAAGTTGAATAGACAGTCACAATAATAAGCCTTCGTGCACTTTTAATCCGACTTTACGATGTAAACAAAGATCACAGTGACTCAGTTAAAAAGTTCTTATGTATTTCACCCTACTGAAAATAATTTAATTTTTAAAAAAAGTTAAAGTTCAACTTTGCCATTGTCTTTCTGAAATAATTGTCTGGACAAGACATATTTGGCTGTCAAAATTTTTCATCCATGACGTGATTTTTCGTTGGCCTTGAATTAATCTTAATTTCTATTGGCTGAATTTTGCTCATATTATGATTAACTTATCACAAAAGGGTTATTTTTCACCCCGTAAATAATTTGTGACTATATAACTTGTGTTCACAAACATTAACATACCGCTACGTGGCATGAAAACACCAGTGTCTGTAACTGTTATTTCTGGCTGTCCTTTTGCTTAAATGGTAGGTAAGTCAGATCATTTTTATAATTTCTGGTCTGTATACTGGATATTCATTACTTTTATCACAGTTATTTAATGCAGCGCTTTCCATTAGTTATCGTATAAATACTTCAAAACTAATAAGCATGAGAATTATCTAATTAAGGTGAATGGAATTTATTATAAACCTTAAGATTCAGTTTCTTGTTTTGTTATTTGATTATTCCAGTTTGTCTGATTGACCGACTGACTGACTGGCTGATTATCTAACTTGGCATAGTTGTGTAGGCATGATTTCAGTTTTTATTTAGGATAACAATCTACTTATTTATTTGTTTGCTTATTTACTATGTTTTTTTGTTTATGTGTCTTTTACAAATAAATGATATAACCCACTGAATATATATTTATTTTTCATGCAAACTGTGTTGTCCTCTACTTCAATTTCCCAAGTTCTACCCTTAGTTCAGTTTGCTTGGAAAATTTGTTATTAGGCAAAAACATAATCATAGTGACTTGTACTTCTAAGATTATTGTAAGTAATGTAAGAGAAGTTAGACACTGTGTTAGCATTTAATTCCTATACTAGATTTGTTTATTTGATAAAGAACACAGTGATGCACTAATGTTTACTGGATAAAATTCCAGACACAAATTATTGTCTGTAATCATTATATCAGGTTCTTAGAGTATTGAAGTATTGTAAGCAACCAATGAGTAAATGAACCATACAAATCTGTAGGACAGAACTGACCACGAAAAGCTATTAAACAAGACCATTTGGTACTTTTGTGTTAGTAGAAGCACCCAAGATGACTAAAAATGCGAAGACTGTAAAAATCTTGACATGGTATTTTGGACGCAATTACTTCTTTGTGTAAACTTACAAATGTATTTCTCAATCATTTGCAAAAGGTGATTGTTACACCATGTTCTATGCTTTTCTGACCAGAGTTCACTGAGATTCAAGAAATTATTAACTGATTAGAAAAATTCACTTTGGGTCTCGTAGTATAACTAATTGTTATACGATTTTAATAGACTGGTTGGAGAAAGATACTTCGTTGAAACCGACAGCTAAATAATTTCTTGTACAACTGACTATAAGGTATACATGTCCTGTAGGGATTGTATTACTGCCATTTTGAATTCAATTTGAAACTACTCGTAGAAAGCTTGTTTTTCATGTATTTATTTATTTTGGTTACGGCTTGATGCCACACTGTATTTTCAGTACATGTATGGAATTTTCAGCACGGATATCGGTAGCCCAAATTTTACAGGCTGACCATAGATATCGGGTGTGCGTCGACAGGGGATCGAACCTCGGACCATATGCATGGTTGGCGAGAGTCCTAACCACTGTGCCACCAACGTGGCAGTGATAATTCTTAGATGTCAGGAGTTCATCTATAGAAAGTCTAATAAACCGGTTTGTGTGCTTGTCGATACTCATCATTAAGGTATATTTGTAAATTAATTTTCCCTCTGGAATTCCAATCAGTCGTTGAACACGCAACATCTATAAGAAAAATTAATTTGTGACCACAAGGCTGTTTAAAAAACTGTAGAGATAAAACCGTATTTCATTAATTTGAATTTTACAGAAGGTGAAGTCAACTATATTAGCTTGAGCGAATTCAGCGTATTAATTCGATGAAAGTGTGCTGTATTTTGGTTTTGAATTCCCATTTGAAATTACCTTTTAACATTTCCATGTCACACTTATCAAGTTGAAACATTAATAGTCGAATTATTGTTCCTAAAAATACACATGAAGAAGTAAAGCACATTGCAGAATGTCTTTTGCAGTGTCAATTCTTATCATGTGGTTAACTAACTTTTGATCGGTGTATCTGTTAATTAGATAATCACCTATTCTACACATGTGCGCAAAATTCATTTTCAAAATTTTCTATTAAATGTAAGGAAAACAAGACTAACCAATTATCACGGATAGTTGGAAAGATAACATCCAATACGACTACGATTAAGCCTAAATTGTGAATACTATCGTTTTCTTGTCTTTAGAATAAAGCCATAGAAACTATTCTATGAAAGTTTTAATATTGGTTAACTGTTGTATGTTGTTTGTTGGCTTTGAAATGATTTTTAATTTCATCACACAAGATATATTCCATTTAGATTTCAAATAGGGTTAGGTAAAATGGAACGTTGAAACCCAATGAAATAATTAAAAAAAGACTAACCAGTGCTTGTAATAGGAAATAATTGAATGTTTTACTGGAAACTGAATTCATCAGTTTGCAGTTATATATGCTTCTCAGAATATTTATCATCTTTGCTAAATGAGGCAACTGGACGTTGGGTTTATTGTAACATTTATTTAATTCTATTATGGATTTTGTCACGAACGAGCGTTGGTTAAGGCATGGCACTATCAAAAATCAGGCAGAAGTTAATAATTGATTCATCTATGTTTAGGATCCACAACTCCACCAGAGATTAAAGTGATAACTGCCATGTTATGAGGATAGCATGTTGTTGCTCATTCACATAAAGGAAATGCAGTAGTCTATGAATTATGAATTCTGTCTGCTGTTGGTATAACGGCACTTCTGTCCAACATCATTTGTTACAATCTTCTGTCACACGCAGTTCTGTCTAAAACACCCATCGAAACACTACCATTTTGAAGATATTCATTAACAAGCTGTGGTTTAGTGTTGGGATGTTTGTAGTCATTCTCTAATTGATGTCTTTTAAGAATCTGCCTGGAATAAGGTAAATATAAATATTCCGGTGATTAATAACAAACAAATTTTTCAAATATCTCACTGTTTTTAAATATTGAATACCTTTAACAAAGAAATTAAGTGTAATTAAAATAAATCGAATCTTCGTGTTTTAATTTTGCGTAAGAAATCATGTTCAATGGTAGTCATCTCAATGATATATGCAGCATTTAATTTGGAATGTTAACGATGTCATAATCGTATATCCTCATATAGTTGTACAAATTACCTCATTGCTTTAAATTTCCTAAATAGTAGAAATATTGCTATAATAATTTAAGTAATTTCATTCAATCTTCCCGCTTGGTGAATCTGAACAAAGCAAGAACAGCAAATCAGACAGAATAATATTTCGTTAGTTACTATCGTCTGAATACAACCCATAAAACAGTTTTAATATCCGTATTCAAAATATTCACACACTTCAGCTATTGAACATAGAGATGAAAGCCATTAATATTATATAATTAAGTAACAGAATGGAAAGGATAATATACATATATATGTAAACAATGATTGTCATAAGCTTACAAATCGTTTTGGTGTCTCAGTTATTTCTGTTTGTTAGACAATTTATCTGTTTTTGGTATAAGTCCACTGTTCTGTTCAGTGTACTCTATATCGTCCCATTTGATAAGTAGCTTAAAATAGTGTTTCATTTATATATAATTAAAGCAGTACATTTAAGCAAATTGGTGTTAAACAGTACGTTTTGTTTCTTCTTTTTTTTTCAAATTTATGTACACACAAATTGTAAAGATGTATTGACCTTTGGATAAAGAAACGTCCCGTGTGTCCGCATCATCCGAATTTCGTGAATGAAAACTGAGGTATTCAGAATATGTAATTTTCTTTATGTAGGATTTCTTTGTTTTTTGTTTTAAAAATATTCCTATTTGTTGTTATCCTTTTCTTTATGCATCACCTAGTCATAGAGTAAAATCATCAGTATTCCGTTTATGTCTACTGAGTGAGGACAATGTGACTCCTGTTATCCCCGCATACTTCACTTCATACCACAGGGCTTTCTCTTCACATTTAGGTGCTGTACATCATAAAGTTTTCTCTCTTTTGTACACTATCCATGAGTTCGTCAATTTCTTTGTTATCACATCGATATCCGTAATTTTCGTATGCGCCAGAGTTTTGGTCAAGTATATGATGTTCCTTTATCATATCTGACTAATTTATGGTGAGAGATTATTACATCAATCTGCATTCTTCTCATCAAACTATTTGACATCTGATATACATCGTTTCCCTTTACTCATGCAAATATTTCTTTCGATGTTAATTATGAAGTTATTGAGGTGAAAAGAAGAAGCAGAGAAAGCAAGTTGCTCACAATATCTGTTTGGTTTTTTGACCAGTATTTTGTTTCTCCAACAAGCCTTTCATAAACTGAACAACCCTATTATATTTGTTATTACTGCTATAACATATTGCTTATGTAACTTCATTCGATTGTAAATACAGTTGGCTATTTCCTCCAATTTTAACTTCTGTTTTTCTTCATAATTTTAGAATAGTTTGTTGTTTTATTGAGTGTCTGCTTGTGCCTAATGTGGCATAATAACATGGATTTACTTACTTTATTTCGGCTCTGGGATGAAATTTCAGGGAAAATGTCCCTGTTTTCAAAAATATTATTGGATCATCATCAACATTATTGTATGAATATCTTTGCTGAGTTGATAATAATCTAGTCATCACAAAAGAATCAAAGAATTGTGTACCCATTGGTTTGATGAAAAACCTATACGCCGTGATACGCTTCCATAATCATTGTTCTATTTTTATTCACGTTTTCGACGTTTCGGTAGATTATTGCCTAGGCACCTTCCAATTTGTATAAGGAAATGTGGTTCGTTTTCTGAATTCGACCAATGATTTCTCTTCAGATAGAAGTAATTTAATCAATTCATCGGGACAATTTTTACACTGAAGTTCTTGGCGAAATTAAGAGTTTTCTTAGTAGTAGATATTAAATCTCTTGCCATCATCTTGATGTCGTAATTTGATAGTTTTGGTCATTTTTATGAGCATTTATTACAGCCTATTTATGTTCACTGTCAAAACTGTAATATATCACAATGAAAAAGTACTTTGGCGAGTCAGAAGCCACCATTTAGGTGTATATTAAGTTAAGGATATTTTTGCGATGAAATTTAGTAGTTTTATTTGCTATCATGGTGGATACTTACCATAAGATAGGGTCAAGCGTGTTAAACTTGTGTAATTAACAGTGAGAACTTGCTACTCAGTAATAGTGTTTTCGAAATATTATTTGTATCCAGACATAATTCCATAATTCAGTACCCGAAACTTATTAAATATTACTGAAATAGTTATCCGGCTTATATTCACTTTTATACTTTCGAATTATAAACATTAATGTGATTCACATAATCGTTTAGTTTAGATCCATTAACGAGGACCTAATTAAAAAAGGAAATGTTTCTTCTTTGAATTCGTTGTTTTCTAGCTATTTAATTGAGGATTTCAAATCACTTAGTTCTACATATGTCGCGCGGTATGTTTCACCTGTAATCTAACACAAACATACGTGTGCATCTATTTGAGATACAATTGAACTTGATATTTCTCATTTCAATACTATTTTTTAACTGCAAGATTAATAATAATAATAATAGCAATAATAATGGTTTTTATTTCTAAACTCTTGTAGGTAGAAAGAAAAGCTTTTATTCGTGATACGTATCTGTGGATGTAATCTTTCCAACAATAGTTGTTTAACCCATTTGTATACATTTGCTCAGTTTATTATTTTATCTCATCTCTATATCTCTTGGTAGTCTACATTCCAGTGGATTTTATGCATTGAATCAATTAGATACAGACAGACAGCTTATATATAATGGCTCGTATTTCAAAACCTACGCGAATCTGTTTGATTTTGTCAGCAGTCGCATTGCTTTTCTTAGCCTTATTATGCGTAATTGGGATATTTACATTCAACTACTTGTTTACTTATATGATTTCAAAGGTTAGTAATCAGTGCTTCATCTGTCATCATAATGCTTTTATTTATATATGGTATAGACTGATGTGTCATAACCAATCTTGGTATATCCTAACCTTTAAGATATATTCTGTTGTGTAGTTAAAAGTTAGGGTTCCACTACTACACAAAATAAAAATAGTGCTCGGAAATGAGCTTTAAATGTCTATTTTAGCTATAACATGAACTAATACTGTGACTGACTTCAGTATAGTCGTAAATTTCTATGTACTTAGTTTCATTTTAAAAGTTCTCACACGCAACGTCCATGCAGAATGTATTATTTCATATTCTAGTCCCTCCTTGGATGGCTAGTTTAGATCACAGTCTAGAACTTAGTTGATTTCAATACACTGCATATTGTTGAATCGGCAACTTCAAAGTATGTTAATAATTTATTAAACTGAGAATAGTATTTTTATGGCTTATTGTATGTTGCACAATCGACTTTATTTCATAACTTGCGGGAACACCTGTTTAGTAGATCATAGTTCCCAATCTATGGGGAATAATCCCCGCTATTCACAATGACCTTCAGGATGGATACGACAATTTTTCATGTCATTCGCAGGAGATTAAATCTAGTCAGCAGTTGCGAAATAGTTGGGAAAAATTTGTTTAGATGGAAGTGCTCTCTCGGTTGAATTCGGTGGTGGAAAATTCATGGCATATGCTATAAAAATAATGCAGCTTATCCATCCAGTGAAGTTCTTTATGTACTAGACTACCAGCTACGTTTCTGATATCAGCTGATTGCTCCAAGAGGAAGCAGGATTGGAATCTGCAGTCCATTATTTAGAAATCAAGTGTTTAACCCAGTGAATCACATCGCTAGTCATCATCTTCAGTGTAAGGTTATACACCTATCTGGTCGTAAGCATTATTCTTATTAATGCCTTGTCATGAATTCTTACTGTGTATTTGCAAAGTTGTTTAAAAAAAGAATAAATACAAATGCTTATCATGATATATCTTTAGGATTCATTTGTTAATAACAATATAAGTATCGATGAAATAATGGTTATTAGAAGATTGTTGACAAGTGTATCTTCTGTTTATATTGTTGGTGTTTTTATGCTACAGAAACTTGCTATTATACCCGGTAATGAAGTTTACGACAACTGGTTATCACCAAGTGTGCCTGTGTATTTTTCAGTATACTTTTATAATCTGACTAATCCTCAAGAAGTCCTCAGCGGCGAACGGCCAAAGTTTTCAGAAGTTGGACCTTATGTTTATCGGTGAGTTGTCTTTCTTTCTTTATTAAAAATAAATAGGTATGTACATATCATGGATCCTATTTCAGTGAAATTAAATGCAATCGCTGAGAATTTGTAAAACTTGCTTCTTTTCAATCATATTATATTTTTTGTGTGTGTCTTATTAACTCTATTGTTCATAACTTTAATGCACAGAGAGGATCGACAACGAATTATGGTAAATTTCTCCAAGGAATCTCCTCCCAAAAGAGTGGAATTTCGACATAGGATTTTCTACTATTTTCAGCGTGATCTTTCTGTCGGCCCTGATGATGAAGGACTCATAACAAGTCTTGATTTAGTGACAGTAGTAAGTTCTATACTGATTATATGTGCTGTATTTTATTTTACTAATTGTGATGCATTCTCATTTTGTCTATTCACTCATTCCGAAGAATGAGAATGATAAAAGATAAGCGTATTAAGCATCAGACTACACCATCTTCTAGTCATAGTTTAATATCAGTTAAAAAAATCACTGGTGACCATGAATTATCGGATTTGGTCTCGGGATGCTCCACAACTCCTTCAATAGTCCGTTTATACAGTTGCAAATCTCAAACACGGATATTTAAGATTTTTAGGAAACCACTGAATTTTATAAAGAAATTAATTCACAGCATTGGCTAATCAAACAACTTCGTCTGAAGCACTCATCTAGGCACTGAAAAACTTACTATTTAAAAGTGACCCACTTTCTACGGTTCTCAGAGGGAGGCATTGGGAGAACTTTATTTACATCAATGTTGAAATTCGTATTCTCCTGTTGCTCGGTCTTTTCTAATCCTAATTCCATATACACCTATCAACTCACCTGTTCTTGTGCAAGAAGATATATGAATCTTTCGAAATGAGTGTTATCAAAAAGGCTTAAAAAGCACTATCCTCCATAGTTGTGAACTAGTAACAGTGGACACACTAAGAATAAATATTCTCAACACTGCCCACTCATTTTCTGGGGACATAGCATTCATCTCGCAAAGATGATAGACATACTCATTCTTTACCTTGCCATAGCACTAGTTATTACCAATGATGAGGCACATTGCATTCAAGTGAAATCACCTCCTCTGTTTTGATGTTTCAAATGTCGTTTCCTTTTTTGATGTTAACCAAGTATTATTGACCACTGTTCACAGTTATTAACGCATATGTGGTTTTGCTCACTTTTTGCTTGATATTCACTGATCTTTCTTTTTATGATTTTACTGATTACATATGATTTACTAAATGTATTATCATTATTGTGCAACTGCCGACGTGAACTTACAAATTCTCATACATGTTTTGATACATTTTGGTTAACTTTCAAATGTCGGTTTTTGTGGGTTTGATTGATTCCAAGGCAAATTCCGTCACGAACTGACATCAGTTAGGGAACCATTAATAATCACAGAACGCTAGATAATTGTTTCTTCAAAATTTGGAACGGAAAGAAACTCTTGGCTGTAAGAGAATTATTATTATTATTATTGTTCCCTTGGGTTCCTAGTGGAACATAGGGCTTCAACTGCACGTCTCCACTTGCTTCTGTCTTCTGCTGTTCTTTTCACTTGCGTCCATGTTATTCCATACTGTTTCATCTCCTCCTCACACGATCTCCTCCATGTCACCCTTGCACCGATGAACCACTCGCCGCTTCCCTTTCGGGTTCCACTCGAGGGCTTGACGCGCGATGTCACTCAACGGCCTCCTCAGCGAGTGTCCAATCCATCTCCACTTCCTCCTGCATATTTGTTGGGCGATTGGTTCCTGTTTCGTTTGTTCCCATAGCTTCTTGTTTGTGATTCTTTCTGGCCATCTAATCTTCAGTATGGAGCGAAGACAGTTGTTGATAAAGGTCTGCAACCTGTTGAAAATATTCTTGGTGACCCGCCAAGTTTCTGATCCGTAAAGCAAAATTGACTTGACGTTTGTATTGAAAATCCGAATTTTGTTGTTGATGGTGAGTGACGAAGATTTCCAGATTAGTTTCAGGTTGATGAATGTGTTTCTCGCCTTCCCGATTCTCGATTTGACATCCTCGTCCGTTCCTCCTGTGGTTGAGACAATGCTCCCCAGATAAGTGAAAGAAGTAACCTCTTTCAAATCCCTCCCGTTGATTGGCACTGGATGTTGCTGCTGTTGTTGGTTGGTTATTTTCATAACCTCCGTCTTGTCTATGTTCACCTGGAGTCCTGTCTTTGCTGCTTCTCCGACCAGTTTGTCGGTTTTCTCTTGTAAGTCTTCGATTTTGTGTGACATCAAACATAAGTCATCCGCGAAATCCGGGTCTTCTAGGTTCTTCACGCCGGTTCAGGATATCCCTGTCTTCTCGTTTCCCGCTGTCTGACGCATAATCCAGTCCACCACAATTAGGAATATCATTGGTGATAATAAGCACCCTTGTCTGACTCCTGTGTTTACTCCAAACGCTTCGCTGTGCCGTTTTCGTACAGCTGTTGAATAAGGTTGATGAATATTTGGGGTACGCCGTAGTACTTGAGTAGTTTCCAAATTACTTCGCGGTCAACGCTGTCGAGGGCCTTCTCAAAGTCTATAAAGGAAGTTGAGGTAGAGGTTTGATTGCCATTCCATGCTTTGTTCGATGATAATGCGTAGAGTTGCAATTTGGTCAGAACATGATTTGCCTTTCCTGAATCCAGCTTGTTCTGGTCGGAGTTCTGTATCCAGCGCGTCCTTGATTCTCTCCAGGATGATGCGACTCAGGATTTTACTTGGCGTCGACAGGAGCATGATTCCTCGCCAGTTCTTGCAGAGTCCCAGGTCGCCCTTCTTTGGTAGTTTCACCAGGTAACCTTTCCTCTAGTCAGTAGGCACCTTTCCCTCTTTCCAGATCTTTTGCAATAATGGGGTCAGCATATCTGCCGTCGTTTCTGGGTCCGCTTTCAGTGCTTCCGGGGGTATTCCATCTGGTCCAGCTGCTTTTCCAGCTTTCAGAAGCTTGATTGCATTCATGACTTCAGTTTTCGTTGGAGGATTGGTGTCAACTTGCAGTTGTGTACGTGCTGTTGTTGGTATTACTGGACGGGTTGTAGGTGGTGGTCGGTTCAAGAGTCCTTTGAAGTGGTCCGCCCATTGTTTAATCTGTCTTTCTTCTTTGGTAATTGCGTTCCCTTGGCTGTCTTTTATAAGTTTCACTTGTGTTGATCTCTTCCCGGATAGAGACTTGGTTATCTGATATAGTGTCCTCAGGTCCCTTTTGCCTGCTGCCTTCTCAGCTTCAGTAGCCAGGTTGTCGTAGAATTGTCTTTTGTCCTTCCTGGCACTCTTCTTCACTTCTTTGTCCAGTGCTGTGTAAGTTGAGTTCAGCGTCTCTTTCTCTTGTCCATCTTTGCATTGAATCATTTTCTCTTTCACTTTTCTCCTCTCCTCTATTAGTTTCCAAGTGTCTGTTGAGAGCCATTCCTTGTCTTGTTTCTTCTTTCTTCCTAAAACCGTTGAGCACGTTTCGTTGAAAATTACCTTCAGAGAGTTCCAGTGGTCTTCCACGGATGATTCCTCAGTGGTGCCACGTAGTGTTTCCTGCTTTGCTCTGACAGTTGCAGTGAAAATGTCCTGTGTGATTGTGTCCTTCAGTTTGTGAGTGTTGAACTTGCATTGTGGCCTATCCCCAGGTATCCTCGAGGCTTTCAGCTTCACCTTGAAAGTCCCTTGTACCAGATAGTGGTCTGAACCCACATCTGCTTCTCTCCTCGATCTTGTGTCCAGTAGGCTCCGTCTCCACTTCCTTGAGATTGAAATGAAGTCTATTTGGTTTTTGGTGTGTCCATCTGGTGAAATCCATGTTGCCTTGTGTATATCCCTGTGTTTGAACACACTGCCACCAATCACCAAATCACTGAAGGCGCAGAAGTCTGAGAAGAGTTCACCATTTTCGTTCATTTCACCGAGGGCCTCACGACCCATGGTGAGTTCTCTTCCTGTATTGTCTCCTCCCAGTTTCGCATTCATGTCGCCCATCAGGATTTTGATATCGCTCTTTGGGACGTTGTCCATTACTGTTTGTAGTTGACTGTAGAAATCCTCCTTCTTCTCATGTTCTGAGGCGTTTGTAGGCGCGTAGCACTGAATGATTGTAACCTTTTTTCCTTTTGAGTTGAACCTGGCTGTCATTATCCTGGAGGAGATTGGTTCCCACTGCATGAGAGCTTTAGCCGCTGTTGGTGACATCATGATGGCTACTCCCTCGGTGTGCTCGTGATTGTCCTCTGGGTGACCGGAGTAGATTATTGTCTCTCCAGTTGATAGTTGGCTCCTTCCACATCCGTTCCATCTGCTCTCGCAGATTCCCAACACTTCTATTCTATATCTCCTCATTTCTGCGGCTACCTGAGCAGCCTTCCCAGCTTCGTACATTGTACGAACATTCTACGTCCCCATCCTTATTTTCGCTTTCATCGAAAGAAGGCACATCGGCTGACTGGCTTCCCGAAGGCTTTCACCAGCCCGCGTCATTTCACTTCCCCGATTCCAGCGAAAAATAAGGTCACTATTTGTAATTTTCGAATTTTGAATATATTTGTGCGTTGAAGTTTTAGTAGCAATTTGGTTAAGTTTTGGGGGTGGAGTTGCTAGCACCACGCCCCAACCCTCCCTCTTTATCCGGGCTTGGGACCGGCTAGAATACTAGTGACCTAGTAATCTAGGCAAGGTTGTAAGAAAATAACTCACATTTTTTAAAATCTTTAGTTTGTGATCGAAATAGTAAAAGCATTAGTCACTATTAATTTGCCAGCATTGTTTTTTATCTTGACGGATACTAAGAACCAGACCTTTGATATACTCAATTGCGTAATCAGTGACATTAGCATAACTGCTGCTCATTTAAACTGTTTTTGGTAAACTGAATTGATGTGGCATCGATATATAATCTACTGATTTTTGTTCATGTGCGTTCAGATTTTTGAGTACACTTGTCTTATTTCAGTATTTCACGTTAAATAACTCAAAAGAGTTCATTATGGCGCAAATGTATTCAATTTTTTTTTCGGGATCCTGAACATCATTTATATTCTTCATCATATTCATATTTTTGAAAAAGATTTTTAAAAGATATTTTTAGAATTATATTGACTTAGTATTGTTCATACTATTTTAGGGTGCGAACGCTCTTCCAAGTACCTACAAGTCTATTGCAATTTTCTACACATTTTCACCATTTGTGACTCGGTCGCCTCGTGAAATCTTGTGGGGTTATGAAGACTCATTCCTAAAAGTTTGTGCTGGTTTAAAATTTTGTGAAAGCAGTCTAGGTGGTATGATGGCCGAGGTAATTTGTTTTGGTGTGTTCTATTACATTTTCATGCATTTATATATATATATATATATATTCGTATGCAGAGATATGGCTCATTGGTTTAGACTGTCGGTTTCGCGTTAGAAATTCATGTCGATATTGTATAAGTAGGCGTCGTGTAATGAACCTGTTTTTATGACTTAGTGTATGAAAATACAAATGGTTACTGAATTTTATGTATCACTGCTTGATACTTTTTCAAGATGGGGTAAATTGTTGAACAGAAGTTGGACACTGAATATATGAAGCGTTTTTGCATTATTTTAACCATTAGTTTTCTAAGGTGTAATGCATTTTTGAATGTTCCTTTTTGAAAATTACACTTAGAGTATTTCCAAAACTAAGATTAAAAGCTGTTTTGATTTTATAATGTTTATACCTAAATCTAAGTTCTTCGTTATTGAGGTATACCAAGCTTAGGCTAATGGTCCCACGTTTGTACTAATAGGTAAGGTAGGTGGACATTTTCACTTCATCTTATCACTGTTCCTGTGAGGCAGCAGAAAAACTTAACGATACAATGTGTGTAGGAAATACTTATCTTGTAAATAGTGAAACTGAGTTAAGGTAACAGTGATTCACATTGAGGTAATATAGAGGCAGAACAAGTAAATCACTAAATGTAGCATGTTATGCTCAAAAGTCCTACAACACGTTAAAATCACTACAGTGTAGCAGTTGTCTATGCCATTCCATCTGAACTAGTTCACTGATAATCAATGTGCTGTGATGTTTTTTGTTGTTGTTGATAATATGAAAGGAAACATGGGACAGCTGTATACTCGCGTTTTTATAACTCCCTCTATTACGTACTTAATTTACTTAATCTTTCTCACTACTGCATATCCATATGATCAGTGTTTTTGGTATTAATCCTATCACTTTCTGTCAACTCTGTCTACTGCCTAGACTACATAATTAAATTTCTGCTTTCTTTATTACTTCAAGCTGACTTAATTGTGTATTTCATGCAACCGGTTCACTTTATTAGTTTGAAGAGAGAAAGAACGAATATGTTTGCAGGATAATACGAGCTCGTTTTATTTCGTGGATTCTCGTCAACTGCATACATCCTAAACAAAATCAAATTATAGGTTTCAAGAAAGTCGTGGAACATACTTTTTCATAATTACTTTGAGTTATAGATAGAAGGTATAAGGAACATAATTCCAGAATTTGATGTAGGTAGACAGATTATTCGGTGTCAAAAACTGAGAGGACAGCATCTACTAGATTTTCTGAGCACATTCCTAAGAGTCTCCGTACAAAAGGAAGAAAAGTGTTATCGAGTGCAGTCGCCAGACATTTAATTGACACAGGATACACAGTAGAAATTAGCCAAGCCTTCAAAATAATCATTACACAAAGAAACCCATGGCTACTTCGCTTCGCAGAAGCCATTGCTATCAGAAGATTTCGACCAGACCTCTGTATACAGAAAGATAGTGTGATTAATCTTTCACTACCCTGGTAACCCTAATTCTATTTTATTTAATTTTGTTTTGCCTTTTTGTCAGTATGCCTGTGTGTTTGTCTTGTTACGTAACATTCTATTCAATTTTGACCTTCAAGTTTCTAAATCTACTTAATTGTTTGTCTGTTTAAGTTGAAAAAAAATGTTACTTCACTATTCACCCCCACCCTCTTAAACTCTCCACCACAAGATGAGTAAATTCACTCTGTTCTCTGAACCTGACCCTGAAATCTGAACTCTTACCCCTCTTATCTAATTCCACTATATATAATTAGTTGTTTTTGACACCGAATAATCTGTCTACCTACATCAAATTCCGGAATTATGTTCCTTATACCTTCTATCTATAACTCAAAGTAATTATGAAAAAGTATGTTCCACGACTTTCTTGAAACCTATAATTTGATTTTGTCTAGGATGTATGCAGTTGATGTTAATTGTGTATGTTAAGAGTGTTTTAAGTAGTTTCCTCGCCGTAAACTATGCCTACATTTTGAGAGCTGGTTAAATAAGATTGGGTTGTGTAATCAAAAGTATTTTCAATCTGACTGATCGTATAAGCGACATAATTTGTACTCTCAGTAAATATTGTGTTAGTTCGTTTACTATTTAAATATATACCACAGTTATTGTATATATTTAAATGAAAGTTCAAGGTAAATCTCATTATTCAACTGTTTCCTCTTTTTTAAAATCATGTATTTGTCTATGCATAACTGTAATATCTGATTCACAGTTTGTTTGGATGGAGTTCACTAATTCATTAAATTATTTTATAAAAGTGTCAACACCATATAGTAAAGTAGTCACCGTATTTAGGCAGCATTGAGAAATCTGGGCGTGAAAATAGGTTCGAATATATAGTTTCTTTAATTCAGACTATGATGTAGTGATTTTTAATTTTGTTTACTTCTGTAATATACATTCACTTTGACTAGTTATTTTCTTTTTTCATGTATTCTCCATTCATTTACTTTTTTAGAAAAATGGTACAAAGTTTTTTGATTTAGAAATCGACACCGGTGTCGATAATATATCAAACGTTGGAAAAGTATTAAAGTACAACGGGTTAACGTGAGTTATTACCGAAATTAAAATGATACTTCACTTATAAGTGTGTGTTTGTTTAAATCCATATCACATACTGTATGAGTGGATCTTATCTGAAATGTGGAAGAAAATAAAACGATTGCGTGTTTGTAGCATTTTTTCGAGGTGTTGTCTCCTATCTGTCATATAGAAATACTCCTCGATTATCGCTTGAAACCGGACTTTTACATCTCTCAAACATTGAAAAAAAGCTGTTTGTCATCTTTGCATAAGTTATAATTCTTTGGATCAAGTACTCAACTGGGAGTTTAATATGCTCTCTAATGGGGGCTAGTTTACCTTGAAGCATTGTTTAATATGGAGTCATTTAGTAGTGGGCTGATCTGTTTTCGTACTGGTGGTTAGCATCTAACGTTACTCCTGATTTATCTAACTAATTCATAAAACACAAGCTTATTTATCACATAACATCGTCACAAATAATGCAGTGTGAATCTGTAGTAGTGAGTTGTGTGCATACACATGATTGGCCTCAACTATATTATAGTTTCAAATGGTCAGCTGATACATTTTTGCACTGTCTTACGTGTATGCTTGACTTTTACATATGCTTTATATAGTAAAAGGAAGAATGTGCTGCGATTATATCCGTAGCTAACATAAGAAGCCGGTTTCAAGAACAGCATTTAGAAGGACTATTGCGAAGTTGTGTCTTATGAAGCAGTGTATATTTAGGTGAGTAAAGCAGCAATTAGCAGCACAATTTCCTTTTGAGACAGCAGCTGAACTTCATTTGTAAATGAAATCATTTTGTTACGTACAGTCCGTCTGTACAGTGTTGGAAATGTATAAACTTTATTACTGTTGTACTGCTAACAGTTATGTAGATTTTGGTTTAGAAGCGCACTTTACAGTCAGTAGTGCTGTTGAATAAGTGTAAAAGAAATCAATAAGCATGTATTATATTCATATCAGATGTAGATCTTGAATTATTTGCTTTCTTCAAACAATCATTTGTTGTTTTTTATTTTGTTTTCTTCCAGAGAGTTGGATTATTGGCGTACGACTCATGCTAATATGATAAATGGTACAGGTGAGTTATACTGTTTGTACAGTTCTTTTGTCATATTTATATAGAATTCAAAACAATAGAATTTACCAAAGGCTAAATGTATATACATATATAGAAGTTTATTGTCCGTCTAATATGTACCATAAATCGTTACCTTGTTCATGTCCAGAGTATGAATACTGTTGATTAGTAGATGGCAGATAACTAGTGTCAACACAGCACCTAAAATACTGCGTAGTTCACGCCTGCATGAAGTTATTATTATTATTATTGTATCCTTTAATTCCTACAGGAACATAGGGCTTCAGCCGTGCGTCTCCATTGCGTTCTGTTCTCTGCTAGAGTCTTCACTTGGCTCCATGTCTGCCCACACGTTTTCATCTCCTCTTCACATGACCTCTTCCAAGTCATGAAGTAAAGGGAGATAAATCTACGTTGTACAGTGTTATTAGATGAAAACGGGAAACTTGAAGCAGATATGGAAGGAAGCTGCTGTACTTAAAGTGAAAACAGTAAGATTAATTGTAAACCGTACTACCTAGACTATTCAGGATTGGATTCCAGGAGTCACATGCACTTCTATCAGGCAAATTAAGTAGTACGGAAACGAAAAATATGTTCATTAGATAGACCATTTATTAACTAGTATTTTGTCCAAAAGCACAAATCGTTATCTCCAAAACTAGCAATAAAGTATCTCCGTGAATTGACTAGTTCTAAAAAGTCCGTTGATAGATCTACTGACGCTGTCCAACTGAAAGTCGAGGGAAGTATTTAACGATTCCTGCAGCAGATATGAGGTGTTGCCAAAACTAAGAATTAGTGGTGTTGGGCTCTGCCTAGCTAAACTCTACAAAATTTCCGCTTGCCTTCTTGCATCCCTTAGGGCTGTAATAAATGCATACATAAACCGGTGCGTTATCATTATTCAGAAGAAGTTAAACCTCTTTACTGAGCCTGTTCGGTAACTGTTGGTCATGGAGTAATTCATTCCAGAGTTTAGTTGAGTCTAAAAGTCTCCATATGGAAGAACACCTTACATAATTCCTGAAATAAATGCTGATTAAGAATTAATGATTACATTGTTGGGTCATTGTGACTACTACCTCAAAGTAGTAGCACTTACTGCTTGGGTGTGTATTAGCTCAGTTATGACCTAAACTGCTGCCAGGTAAACTGTAAGGTTCCAAATTGGTAATACTAATTGTGAAGTCTGATATTAAATTCCAAAATGATTTCATTTATAGCTTGTATATTATCATGAAAATGCAGTTTTGTAAAAGCGACATTTCCATCCAATTGTATGCTTTGGGTTTACTGTCTATGTTCACTCACTATCAATCGGTATAAACTTTTAGTGCATATATGGAGTTTATAAATGGATAGAAATGATTTGTCTTTCTATTCATCCGTGTGCACAGATGCATATTTCCAAGTATGTGTCATTAGAATTGTAAGTCTAGATAACAATTACGTAATACAGAAAAGGCTAATCGGGTAGAAACTAAAAATAAAATTGAGCAAGCAAATTATATGACGTAATGTAGTTGATGGGATTGAGAACTCAACGGAAATTGAAAGAGAGTCTAGTTAGGATCAGCGTCATGTGTTATTTATTTATTTATTACATTATTTTTCTTTCCTCCACTCAGCACCTGTCCCACTCTTGCACTTATACTTCTTATGACACTGGTCTTAACATAACTCCTTTACAGTTTTGGTTGAGTTCTACTCAATCCCGTCAGTTAAATTACGTCATGCAATTTACTTACTTAATTTTCATTTTAGTTTCTGCCTGATTAACCCTTTCTGTATCACACGTCTAATGACGAATACGTGTTTGTTTCTTTCGTTTAAATTGTCTCTTGAGGATTCTTAGTTCACAGTCCATAATCACTGCCCAATTTTCGGTTTAAGTATAAATTAAACACGTGATATTTCAACTTGTATTTTCATCAAATATTTTCACTGACAATTGCAATTATGGAGACCTTAGTGTGCATAAGGTGAAAATATCAGTACGGGTATATGTGTCTGTAATCTGTGTATATAAACGATATAGTGTACCTTTCGTACAATAATCCTCTTAGTCGTCGAACACCATAATTGCTTAATTCTTCTTCCATAAATGAAAATACAAAGGTTTTTATTGTACTTTTACAGTCTTTTCAGCACACAATAATTGGAATTTAGGAGGCGGGAAAACAAATTTGAAGAAGTGCCATCACATGAGGAAATAAATAAAATACAGAACAGATATTCATAAATCCATAGACACAGCACACATTTGTGCTTCTGCGTCAGTGCTACCGGCTTAGTCTGACTTCCGAAGATTATCTAATAGCTTGACATATTCCATTTTTAGAAACTTACGCATATTTACGTGGTTAAGACCAACACATAAGTGTTTCAATCATCAATCATCTTATTCGTTTGCGCAGTATCTAGTTTTTCTCATCCTGCTACCGTTACACGTAATATTTTATAGTGAAATAAGCATATGCATAAAAAATGTTCTAAATAGAGTATCTGTATTGATCCCTGGTTGATTTTAACATAGAAATGATGCCTTGAAAATATGCATAGTGGAATCCGTATATTAAGTCGTCGACTGTTAGTGTATTTAGTTCTTGAGTGCCGGGTGGAACAGTTTCAGTAATGTCGACATCTATAAGTGGCAATGTGAAGCCTTACCTTAAGCATTCTATTTACAACAAATGGGTCTTTGGTTCGAATTCTGTTTCACCTGCTTCAACCCTTACACAATAAATGTGTTTCATAATGGGGCGTATGAAAATCTGTTCTAAGCAACTAAATTCTAACGACAACCATTACCTCAACTGGACTAATATAAGTTCTGTTAAACAAAGGCAATTTGCAAATCATTATCAGACAAGGATTTAATTTAAGCGTGACGTAGTCAGTGTACACTAAGTGCTGAAAAATACTTCACTTAGCGACATTAGGTAAACTTATATACTGTTTCCATTTCATTGAATGTTCAGTGCCCTTATTATATTTATTTTAGTCTATTTAATCAGAATAAATAAATAAATAAAATAATGCATCATGAAACTATACAGCACTTATATTGTATATTCCTCTTTCAAATGTTTACTTTTGTTTTATTTTTAGATGGTAGTACTATTGCGCCAGGATTGAACATGGCTTCTCGAATATACTTCTTCGTTCCTGACTTTTGTAGATCTTTTTACTCACAGGCTGCCGGTTGGGCTACTGCAAAGCACGACAGTAGTGTACATGTAAGTATAAGGCAGCGTAGTAACAAAATAACAAGCATTTTGGTGCATTTATTTTACATTATTTGAAGTGCAGTTTCTTGACATAAATGATTTAAATTCTAAATAGTTTTTATGGTACACTGATGTTGTCAAGATCAGCAGAAGTAGACTCTTGCAGATACAGTTTCATGCACATGCTACATTGAGTAGAATATCCATCGTTTTTGATTACCTGATTTTCCCTTGAGGTGTTTTCATGAAGTTCATTTGGTAAAGCCTTTTTCCAAGCTATAAGGGATCAATATTTGAAAGTAACACTTAATTTTTGGATTTTTCTTTCCAGTCAATATTTAATTATGCATTATGTATTAAAATTTCATTGTTTCTATTAGCTTCGTCTCTTGAATCGAAATTTTCTGTCGTTGATGTTATTTTTCTCTCATTAATTATTGAATCTCTAGTGATTTATTTATTTATTTAACGCCTTCTCTTTTACAGACCTGGATTGTCATGTTATTTTATGTACCCGATGTTTAGTACTTTAAATTAGTTTTGGTTATACATTATTGTAGCAGAAATCAGTATTGTGAAGCATTTTTCCATGACTTCATAGTTTTGGTGAACTAATTCACTGGGTTATTCTGTTGATTTCCTTGATATGAAGTGATGAAATGAAGTTGTATTTAGTGGTATTAGTGATAGATGTTAAAAGAAGTGGTGTTCTGTCTTCAAAAATCCGTAATTATCGAATTATGTGTTTCATAGAGATTCCCTTCAACTTCTGTGGCGTCTTACAGTGGTTTAGTGTAGTAAAATAATTTAATGCTTAGTTTCCATGAAACGATATATATATATCATTTCAACTACTGATGGAACAGATAAGGATGCTGAAAGCAGGATTGGAAAGACAAGGCAGAATTTCATTGATTTGAAATCAGTTTGGGAATCTTCTGCACTCTGCATAAACGACAAAATAAGGATTTTCAACACTGATGTTAAGTTAGCCAGTTCATCTGTATGGGTCAGAAACTTGGTGCGTTACGAAGAGCATTTCTAACAGATTGCAGACTTATACCATTAGCTGCCTTCGCTAGCTGCGTAGTGAAGGTCAGATGGTCAGAAAGAATCTGTAATTCTCGCGCTGGGTCTTCGTATTTTCCACAAAATTCTGCTTTATTCGTCCATAATTCCCCGTGTTACATGTGAAATCTTCCATGATCTCTCTTTCTCCTTCTATTAATGTATGGGAAGGATGAATTGAAGTTAATATGTCATTTAATCTGGTCTTGGTATTACGTCCTTTCATTCTGGGACCCATAACTCTATGTGCCACCATTAGTATCGTTTCAACAAGCTGTTGTATTATTTCGCATAAATTGCTAGACGTCGTGAAATGAAACAAGGAAGTTGTTTTCGAATTCTCTGTTATTCTCAACGTAACTGTTTGGTTGTATACATCTGAGTGACTGTAATTGTTTCTACTATGGATAACCTCGTAGTGCTGTGTTAGTTCTGCCAGTCCAGTACACTCCATCTTCTGAGATTACTGAATCGTATTGATTTGCTTTCTTATATTTGTCTCAGTCATTGGATTTATGTACTTTTATGTTGTACCTTTCTAATTAAATGTTGCTCGCTTAGTGTAATAATTGTGTGCGTACACATACACAGAGGAGTGAAAATTCAGGGACGACAGAATTTGTGGCAAATGTAAGAAATTTATTGATAAATATTTATCTGATGGATGATAACATTCATCTGTTCCGCCAAAGAGTTTAATCCCTACTGCTGGTATTCGTGTTCATTGATTCAAATTTATAATGTTTAAGAGCCGAAATTCTTCTTAGATCATTCATATTTCTGAGTAGTCACGGTAGAGTCTTTCTATACCACGTTTTTCATTTACATTGAGAATATGCTAAAGTGTCTTGTCATGCCGATCCTTTAAGCAATTTCGGTACGTCTCTCTGTCATATCCTTTTTGTATAGAAGTTTGACATTTTCATTGCAGGCAATGAATCACATACACACTATGACGGAAAGCATTTGAAGCATTTCGTCGTACTGAACATCTTTTCAAGATTTTTGTCGTTGCCATGTTTAAATGATCTAGTGTGTATTTGACGTTGGGATTCTTCAGATGGTTAATGCGTTCAAGGATGAAATGCACAAATCTGTTGTTTACTTAAAAATGGTGATAGTTTTTCTATCATGTTGTGCTTACTACTGAATGGCATAAATGTTTGCTAAACAGTCATAATATAGAACATGCTTACAGTATTTTTGTAGTGTAAACATTTTATGCAATGTTGACTCAGTGTCACTTGATTGCACGCTTTTTTCGCACAACAGCTAATTGCTGACTATTAGACGAAATGAATATTAGAATACTGATCTGTTATCTAAATTGCCAGTGTGCGTTTGATATTCTTATACTGATAATCACTTAGGGCTGTATTCATCAAATAAAAATTCATAGGGGGAAATGCAGCAGGTCAGTAAGCATTTAATGAATTCTCGTAATGGAATGTATGACTATATTTCCTTTCTATGTGGGTTTTTTTGTGGCTTTTTATTTCAATAAATTATACTTCCACTTTTATGTATTAGAAATTTGGACTTGGATATGTAGTACTTCTTCGAGCAGTGTAACTAATTTCATTCTAAGGGGATCGACTAATAAATGGGTGAAACGATTTGAATGTATGTCCTTTTCCAAGTATTTCCACTGTATATTTTAGAGTTTGTTTATTCTACGGTCATGAATAGATGGGTATTTGCTGACGTGTCAAACGGTTAGAAAGGAAATCATAGGCTCAGTTTTGGTTTCGGTTAACGTCCGTCTTATAACACGTCTTAGTGGTAATAAGTATGATGAGTGCTATATATGGAATACACTTGTCCTATAACTAAATGTTTTGTATGAGAAAAACCCGCTTTTGAACATTATTCACATAAAATTTGGAGACATTTTGCAAGTCACTGTGCAATACAAAACTCCTTCGTCTGTCTCTATGTCGTATCTTAGTTTATTCATTCTGTCAGAGTTTTACGTTTTATTGTAGCATCGTAAATTTATATACATTCTTCATGCTTTTGAATCTTGTTTTGTGTTTTCTCTTTCCAGTTACTTAGATTTTCCTCTCCACGTGAACAGTCGCTAAATGCAACACTAAATCCTCATAATCAAGCATTTTGTCCAAAGGTAAAGGCTGGTCCAGAATGTCCTCCAACTGGAATGATCCCCCTATCACCGTGTTCTAACCCAAAGATTGCGGTCCCGATATTTGCCTCTCAGCCACACTTTTTAGGAGCGGATCCACACATTCGTGAGGCTATGGATGGAATAAGAGAACCAAATGAAACACTCGACTCTACTGTATTACTTATTGAACCGGTAAGTGCTGAAAGCGTTACTACTAATAATTTAACTTTTAGATACTAATCAGGTTGGAGTGTAGTATTTATTAACCTGTCTAGCATTTTTGATACAATTTCATTTCCGATTCCATTAAATTCTGTTTAGAATTCTTTTCTTCTTATTAGAAAGACACCATCACTAGATTTGTTTTGTGTTATTATCTGTCATTTGTGCTTGTTATCTTTGAAATAAGAACAAATTAGTTCAGCGAAGAGTCTCTTTTCGGCAAATCCATTCACTTAGCTGTACAGTCGCAAATATATACAATTAATTTTGTGTGTGTACATTAGGTTTGTCAAAATCAAAATCAAAATAACAATTAGTGTGGGTTGTTGATTACATCATCAAAATAATTAAGAAGTTAAAATGTGTGATTAATAATCAAAGTTGTAACTAAGTCGGGTGAAGATTGGTAAGATGTGAGTAGGGTTACGTAATATAGATATGTTAAGAAAGATTAGATGTTAGTGAAGGAGTATGGAGACAATTATGAAAATAAACTAGATAATAGATGAAAAGATTGAATGGGTTAGTTACTAAAAAATTATTATACGAAAATTGCAAAAAAAATTGATAACAAAATATTGATGACAGATAAACTTGAAATTAAACCCACGGTAGTAGGAGGGGGTGGAGAAGTTTCTTCTGTGTGCATAAATCAGGTTTTCCTATCCAAATCGGTAAGGCTTCGGCAATACAAAGTATACGGAAGCTTGTCGATTTTGGAAGGCTTCTTTTGACTTTATAGATGACTTTGAACGATTTCTCCTTGCAAATCGAATGACCAGTGTTGAGCATATGCTCAATAATGGCGCTCCTTATTGCTCCGTTGTTACCTTTCCGTAGCCAGGCGGGATAGTGTTCTTGAACTCTTTTAGATAAAACTCGCATTGAACGACCTTGTTATCTTTACTGATAGTTGAATATTTTTTTGAAAATTTAAGTTGAAAGTGAAACTTTACAATGATAATCTAATAGAAAAGCAATGAAATATTCCTCTATAAGTTATTTATTGAGGATATAGTTGACACTATTTAAGCACTGTCATGAAATATCTTGACTACTTGGCTTTCAACACTTTCCTATCCCTTGTGTATTGTATCATAATAATGACCAACGCCAATGAATATTGTTGTTCGCCTTTATCAACGCGACCGTTGATGACACTCTTTCCTAATAAATTAAGATGCTACAAAGTGCGACAACAATTTCTTATCAGTTAATGTAAAATATCATATCTTGTTTCAATAGATCACTGGGTGTCTTGCTGGAACAGTGTGATATGTAAACAGCTTGATGATATTCGAAGTTGTTTTTTGTTTTTACTCAGGACGACGATAATGACACTTATTTGCCGGTCACCCTATTTTTGATATTTTATCGTCAGTGTTTAATCACCAGGCTAGAAACTGTGCCTTGTACGTATACTTTGAAATCGTTCCGTGTAACTCTACCTCTACCATTTAAGGTTTGGCATGTTCAGTGACAAGTAGGGGTAATTTTCTATTTATGGAGAACGATATATATATATATACATTAAGTGCATGTCATTTATTCTTCCTAATTTTCTAGAATACTGGATTCATTTTGGAAGCCTACAAAAAGGTCCAGATTAATGTTTATGTTGAAAATGATGGTGATTTGTAAGTTGTTTTATACATTGCGTGGTATTTTTTGTTTACTATAGTTATTTCGTTGTGAAAAATTTTCATACAATTTTACTCGTAAAAATGGTTTCCTACTTTCCAATTTTCTGCTATTGTAATCCATTTGTATTTGAATTGAGATGTTGTGATTTTATTGGTTACTTAAAGGTGATATTTATGGGTAGTCGTAAGTGACAAAAATATAAGCTTATGGCTATTCTGGAAGTTTTATGCTTTTCTTCAATAAAAGGCAAATAATAGTGCAAGTTACATTTAAAAACGGAACTGAATTTTCAGTGTGTGACTTTGCACAAAAGTTTACAGAGGTAGAGAAAAGTGAAATGCAAGGAGACTATAACAAAAGAAACTGTACGCCAGAAAGAGTAAATAAACATGCTGAGAATAATGAGGATTGAATTAATCTGATGGATCACAAAGAATGAGTGCTTCAGTACCATGGAGAACGATTTCCATTGGTTCTTACTTGCTCGAAGAACCAATCTAAGCAGCCTGAAACTGTCTATGCGACTCAAACCAACAGCCATGGGCTTTATGAGTTGATGCCATATTTTTATGTGGGCACCCGTTTGAATGCAACCATTGACTTTACTTTTACAAGTTACTGATGAAGTACCTTACATAGTATTCACATCGCCTGCAGAGTATGACTTTTGAAATGACTATTTTACGGCTTTATAAGGTCAACACTATTATTATCTAAACTTCAGTTCAGTAGTACACTTGTTCGTAAATTTATTTACTTGTAATGTTTGAAGTGTCGCCAAGGCTGTGTTTTTTCTCATCGGTATATGCATTACTTAAGCTGAAATGATTCATCATTTTATTTAATATTATGTTGGGACGTTCTTTATTATATAAGAAATAAACCCACATTTCACTTCCTGAGTCTTCAATTTTTTTAACCTGGTAATTTCATTATTGGTGGGCTGAAGTTTACGCTATCGAAGTTTTTCTCCATTTCTATATTTCAATTATTGTTTGGTCAAAGTTCTTTTACGGAAATAATTATGAGTTATAGGGTGACAGGAAAAAAAAAACTGAACAAATATGGCACAGTTTGATATGATTACTACACATATAACAAATCTCAGTGTACATGTGTAGACTCCATCGCTTGTGATGCCAGTGTTAGCAGTCTGTGGACTCAAGTTGAGAACAGATAAGGCTACTATTACCACTACATTATCAGTATACTGAGACAAAATATTTGTACTTAATGTGTTTAGACTGTCTACCAGGAAGCCAACACACAGTCTAATTTTATCACTCTATCTCAATTTTAGCCTGATGGCCATTTTTAAATACACTTGATGAATCAGTGTCTTCAAATTCTAGTTCACACATAACTTTCTATATCTGAATGGTTTAGCAACATACTTTATACCATCAATCCAATGTTGGTAAAGTCAGTGTTGTAGTCCAAGTTATATATTGCTTCGATATTTTTTTATTCGTTGGTTTTTGTTATCTGACTATATTGCCTTGTACTCATAAAAACCTTGTTTGCTTTTATGAATTCATTTTTATTGATGTCGTCTCTTGATGCTTTACAATAGTTTATACAACAGTTTTCAGGCTGTAAATGTTTACTGAGTTTCTCAGTGTACTTTCAATGAATCTGCGTGTCTGTTGATTTATCTGTCTCATTTAATACTTCTTTGTATGCGTCTTGCTTCTTTTAAGACACGAGTGATTTTAATAATGATATCGAAAAAAGTGCTTTTATTATTTTTCCCTATTTCTCTACTTTCCAGGGGTGAAGTCTACGGAAACATGAAAGGACCATACTTTTTCCCTTTAACCTGGTTCACTGAGGTTAGTAAATCACTGGAATCATAATATTTCTACTGTTAAAAATTCACTTTAAATTCTATGTACGGAAATTGAATTTATCTTTTTTTTTAAATCAGCTAAGCAATAAATTCATATTAATGTGTTCCAATAATTGATAATCTTCAGGAAGTGGTAATAGTGGTTTGTGTTTTATGTTAATTTTTTTGTATTAGTAAATCTTGACATATTTTTCGTGAGTATATCAACTGATTTGCTAAACAAATCATTCAGACTATGAAAAGTCGTATACACCATTCCTTTATTAAGTAGTGGTAGTACCATCCTGTGATGATGCAAAACAGGAAATGATCTTTCACCACTATTTCAGCACTTATTTTCAAGCTAAAATTTTTAGCAAGTTTGTTCTATAACGCATATTTAGAACAAGAGATTACACAAACTTCAATACAAACTGTTTAGATAGAAAAATAAGTATAAATTGGTTAGATGAGGTGAGCACTGAAGATTCGATGTCAATTTAATTCAAATGTGAAAGGGTAATTCAACGAAAATATCTGAAATGTATAAACTAGAACAGTTTGATTTAATGTCAACGACACCACCACCTTGACATAACACATCAATAATAAATATATTTTAAAATCATATGAATTATCAACTGTTAAAAAATTCAAATTGAATACTTATAGGCCAGCCAAAAAAGAATAGATTACACTATACTCGGACATGTGGTAAATGAAGATTGCAAGGTGCATTGTTGACTGTTTGGTGTCTATCGATTTCCTACTCGTAGAAAAAGAATGCGAATTTTGATGGGATAAAGTCAGCTTTAGGTATTTGTCAACATCTTAATACAAAGTGGCAACTGCGAATATAATGACAACAAGTGATGTTGTAATCTGATTATTCAGAATGATTACACTGGCACCATACAGCTCTAAGCCTTATGGATATTTTGAAACAACCTTGGAGTGGTGATCGTATCTGATACATATTCACGAATTTCAGGTGACACGACTATTAGGATGTTGTTTTATTACTTGTGAAGAAAATAGTTGTCTGCAGTGCATAAAACTATGTTTGATCAGGACTTCATACATACTTGGTTAGAATATTTGACGTCACTACTGTCCAGTTATTCTGTATATTGGATACATGATTTAGAAACAGTATACAATTTAGGGCCACACACCGTAAATTGATTACTGATATGATTTCTATAAAGTTACTTAGTTTGCAATTGTAACGGTCTAGCATCAAAACTGATCACTACCCTGCCATTTTTTTTGCATGAAAATGGACCTTTGATTTTTTCTTATAGACATTCAGTTTGTTTGCAAACTGCATTCAGAGTTCATTATTGTTGATATAATATAATAACTGTCGCAGTCTTTTATCTTATGAACATGTTATACAAACCATTTTCAAAATATTCTTTTCAGTATGCAGTAGCTGATGAAAAGGCACTGAAAAAAATATCGAATTATATTCTTAAACCAAAGAAAGTAATACCTATTGTTTTGGCAACTGTTGCTTCGTTGGCGCTTGTGTCAGCTATTATCTTGATTGTTGTTCTCCTCACACGTTATGATCGAAAGAAGACTGACACCTCTTCTGTTCATGCTCAAAGTGGGTCTGGATTCTTACCGGGCAACATTACATACCATGATAAAACAGGTGATAGCCCGTTTGATCAGTGGACAATTAAACCCTCACCAGAACATGATGCTAATCAGGTTAGTCTATGTGTGTCTATATCACTCCTATTTGAAATCTCTCAAACATATATATATATATATACATGCATACTAATATATCTTTAGAGAATCAGTAACTTCGCTGTAGTTACCATCATATGTTCATAAAGAATTCATCCCTTTTATCAACGCATACTTGCGTAATAGTTCACCGCACGTCTGTTACTTTCATCCATACAGATACTGCGTATTGTGAATGTGCTGTTCTAGACTATACATATATACATATGTTGTATATGGTCGACTGAATATGGGTTGACTCCTTATGTATTAATAACCCTCACTTCTAATTGTGAAACATACGTCGATGACGATCCCAATAATCTTGAAACACTACCTAACTTTTTGCTAATTAAACTGCCTTGTTTTTCGAAGTTACGCCAACTTGAAGTCAAAGTATCCTACAACTTTGAATCATGTCTTTATGAAGTTTTAAATTTCTTTCTCGATATTAAAGAACGTTTCGATGACATTTGTTAATACCTTTTTAAGTGCATTCGATATGAATTTCTGCCTTTTTTGTTACTCATATATTGAAAGTATATCTAAGACACGTTTGATTTCGTTATTTGTTTTGTGCATCTGTATAAAAGTTGTGATTATTTGATCCATTTGTATTTGTTTATTTATCATCACTTGCATGAATACAACTTTAGGACAATGTTATCGACTGCCTAGAGTTTCCTCCTGATAAAATACCGTCTACACTATTCAAACCCGTGAGTAATTTACCAGTAGACATCATTTGCATAAATCTAATCTCCTAGATACTAACCCTTTGAATCATAAATAAATTTGTCAGGTTTTAACATTTGCATCAAATTGTAAAGGCAATAGGATATCATTTGTACTTCTTCAGTTATCTGGGGGTGGGGATGGTGATGGGCTCATTAAAGAACTCATTAACCTGCTTCATATATTTTCTTTGTTCTTTTTTTTCTTTAAATTTTCATTTATGCTTGTGTATGATAATCTCTTATGTTTTGGTTATCGGACTGTATGCATATGCAGTGTTTCTGGTGCTTCTCCTTTTAAAACTCCTTAATTTAATTGGAAGATAACAAACGGGTATGTGCATAATATCGTAACTAATGCACTCCTAACTAACACTGGTCTTTGGCTACATTTCATTTACCTGATCAAATCAGTTGTACTGTTGTATCATCACGTTTTTTGGATTGATGAAAACAGTGCCTGCTTCATTTAGTTGTTTGCTTTTTCTTTCAAAATTGAGTGAAGCAAAAATTATCCAGTGTAGTCCAGATGTCATCTACACGCCTTTGTTTCTTTTTTCCACTGAATACTTCTCGCTTTATTTATCCATTGTCTCGGCCGAGATATGCAAAGATTACTATCTTTATCTAAACTCCTAAAGGAAATGTATGCCAGGAAATACATATATTTAAATATCACACTTGGTTTCTCCATTAACCGCTTCATTCTTAGAACTATTGAAAGATGATCTTATGATAACAACTGTGAACATCATATCCATTTCATCAAAATTACTATAGAGCAGATATCATCGAATGTGACAATGCATCACAAAAGTATCTGTCAATGTACAAAACAAAAGTTAACGGAAAGTATGAATTACTGTACTGTTGAAAACCAGAGTTGTGAATTCGTGTATTTGTGATATCAACATTTTCCCCCGAACTTAGTCATTCAGTTGATAACGTGTAAATAATTATAGTGGCTACAGCCAGATGAAATTAGTCAGAGTGCTTTTCATAATACTTTAGTGTATATATAATTGCAAGTGTATGTTACGCTGAATTTGATTTTAAATGCCTCTGTTCTATTAGTAGTTGGTAGAATGCTTATCTTTATCTCACGCTTTACCGTATGTTGTTATATGTCCTTGAAACAAAAAGCAGTTTCTTCACACTTCACCGGCATATAATTGATTTTGCTACCATTCCAGAAGAGGCAACTTGTGACTGTTGTAAATTATCGAGGCAGAGGTGATTGACCATCGTGGTCACTATGATAGTTTTTCTTGAAAACAGCAGTCACTCTTCCATAGATCAGATGATTTGTAACATTCATGATAACGACCACTCAGCATACAACAATAGAACTGGAAAAAAAAACAGCCACATTTTCATTTTTCAGATCTCCCAGTCGCTTTCTTCAGTTAGAAATTTTTTGTCTTTAATTGCTTGGCTTTCTTTTATTCTCTGTCATACTTATTTTCAATGCTGCTTGTGTATGCATGTTTAATCAATGGATTTTCCACCAACAAAACTAAACATACTCGTTTAATAATATGAGAACGCCTACGCAAACCGTGTGGTTTCTTTAATGGTGGAATATATGCCTCACTCTTTCTGTGAGACTGATTCACAGAAAATAGGAGTTATTTTTACGCTACACTTATATGCTGATCAGATGAAATCTTTGGATGCATATGTATTCACAAGGTGCTAGGTGGTAATTTAATAGTTCAATCGTCGGTTGATAAGATTTCTTAAAAGTTGTGTCTAAATAACTTATCAAAACGTACTGCTGTACCATTTTATAGTCTGTTAGCAAGTGTTGTATGGCCAATATTTTAAATAATAAAATGTTCCCGACATAATATCGAGCATTTTCAGCTATCTTGAGTCAATCGAATTTGATGCTGTCATGCTGCTGTTTTACATTTCAGTTGGCTTTTGAATGATGCGTTAAACTTCTGCTTAGGTGTTCTGGTTGTTCTATGATTCATCGCCAAGGTGTAATCAGAATTTCCCTTCATTTAATTGAATTCTGTCTAATCGTTTAGTTTACAATAAGAACTACTGAGTGGAGTGGCTACTTAAGAAAACTTCTTTTATTACTCCAGTTCGTCGTCGTTGGATTCACTATGAAAATTAGTTTACTCAATTAACAGTACTCTTAGAGGTCTAAAATTAGAAAACATTTCAGTGTAATTTTCTTCATAAAGCATACGAACGGTATCGCTTGCCAATTCTTCTCCAAATTATCAGTCTAATATGTTAAACCTTGTGCATTGTCTATAGATCATTTCGACTTCAGTTGTATTTTCTGCCATACGGCACTGCAGAAATACTGAGTCGTGGAGTTTGCCAAGTCAACTGAGTCCCCTTCCTTACAGAAGGTTACTCTTGAATGTTACTTTTTTAACACTGTCACTATGTTTTCTTTATTTCGTTTATTTTACCAGGTTACCGAATCAAGACCTTTGCTCAAGCCTTCTGATTCGGCTGGAAAGGCTGTTGCCTAGGTATTTTATCCCACCGCTACCACTATTCTGCTTCTTAGTATTCAGTCATGCTGCTCACTTTTTGATGAAATCGAATGAAATACTTTTTTATGCAACAGTAAAATAACATAGTGTAACTGTGAAATACAATTTCTTTTCGTAGTGCTTCCTTCTCATAACCTGATAATCCCAGTGCTCCCTGATACATTTTCCACAAGTTGTGCTCACTGTTACCACTACTGAATAGAGATATATACACACTTCACTCTATCTAGAAATCATTTTGTTAATGAATTCAATTCTTTTTTGTATACGAATTTCAATCAATCTGTCTCTTGATTTTCTGCGGAAAAAAGAAACACATCTAAACTTTTGGTTACTAGTTCACAGTTTTTTATTCGGTGCTTCTCTCTCCTTTGTATATTTTCATTCTTATATACGTGAACAGTTCAATGTGTGTGTGTTTTGTTCTTTCTTAAACGTTTTGGCCGTTTCACTTTGGAATGAAATTTAAAGCTGTCTTCTTTAAACACTTACGCATTCCTATCTTCCCAGTTCTCTGACTAGTCACCAGTGTTCGTTTGTTTTCTCCTTTTCTTTCCAGTCTTCTTTTTTTACTTTTTCCATTATGTCTTTTAAAAGTATTACGATGATTCTTTCAGAAATATAAGAAATTGAGTCGTTCACTTGTGGATCAAGTATTTAGATAATATATTTTTGTTACACTGTTCATGATATTTTGCATCTAATGTGTATTTTCATTGTGTATTACATGTTATTGCTTAGTCTCCGCTCTGCCTTCCGCCTATCAATGCTTTCTATCAATATTGCCTTCAAAATATGTGTTATTCATCACTTTAACCCATTTGGCCTTTGTAATTTTGTGAGAAAATCTGTTTTTTTTTTATTATTGATATTTGATATGTAATAAACATAAATGTTAGTGTTGATTACATTAACTTTGTTTTTCTGGTGTTTTTAATGGGTGCATTATAATTTCCGGGTGATTGTGAATACAAGGTTATTTTTTTAACTGAGTCCATAGCTGGTTGGTGAAGTATGATATAGTTTCCTGGTGTTCCATAAGTAAGTGTCCTCTTGTTTGATGTGATTTTCTTTTCACAAACAATAATGACGCTGCTTAACCTTAAATGTCATTCATTTCAGTTTGTTCAGTAAACCATCTAACATAAATTGCTTACCTTTGTTGCATAGTCATTAATATCCCTCTGTGGATTTAACCGTTTAAATTGGTGCTGTTTAAATTAACAGTATTATACATTGTTCAGGAGTTGTCGGTTACATTTCATGGGAAACCAACTCACAAGCTGAATCGAATATTCATATATATATATATATATATATATATATATATGTATCCCGGAAATGCAATACTATGAAAGCATACTTACATCTATATTTCACTACCCTTTCAGACTTATTTGTCTCGTATCCGATAGCTAAGGGAACAATAGCAGCGATTATTGTTAGACAAACTAAGAGAAAATAATTTTTGATAAGCCTCCCGACTGAGTTCGGTTCATAAATGGAAGGTGGTCACACACTTCTAGCTAACAAGAAAGGATAATAAATGCACATATCCAACAGATCTGTTTCGCGCTTTTTTCATCAAAAGTTCTTCAGTTTACTATATAGGTTCCCGTAAAGATTTTATTTCAAGTTTCTGTATCTTATACTGTCGACATTCGACTGATAGATGAAAGCTGATCACCAAAACAATTTGATCACAACCACATCATGTTTCTCGGGAAGACTCCACTGAATTATGCCATGTAGCCTACAGTTCTTTACAAACTGTGTTTCACAGTTTTATTAAAGGAAAGTTTATTGATCGTATCATGTACAATGCATTATCTACTGTAAAACCATCAACTGTATTAGGAAAATTTAACCCATTTAAATATATAGAGGAATGCATCCTTTGACCAGGTGTTCAAACTAGTGTGTAGTCACATATATGAAAGAGCACCGAAGGAACCAGTAATTACTGACTCAAATAAACGACTGTCAACAGTGTGATTAATTCAAACTCATCGTTGTGAAATCACCTACCACTTTTTGTCGAGATCTGTTTAGTTATGAATAAGTATTATGTTAGTGAATGGCATATAGTTATTAGTGGTGAGATTAAAATAAACTGCAGGTCATTTGACCACGGTTCGTTTCTAGTCTTAAGCGTAGAAATCCCCTTGACTTTCAGTGGTTGTGTACTACAATATCTGATGGCTTAAAGACTAGGTTAAACTTTTCCACACAGTGTTATACAGTCAGCAATCATATGATTATGAGCAATAAATTGTGCTCGAAACGTCATCAGTAAATATTACTGTGTGACTTTATCATGGTAAAATTTAGCCGTAATGGAATTATCCTCTACCACAGTGCACAAGCTTTATCCTCACAGGTTAAAGTTTTTTTTACTAAATTTCGAAATGCATCTAGAAGTTTATGGCTTCAGTAATTTTCTGACAAATTGGTGTCATTATTGACTATCGTTAATTCTGTGCATATTATTGTACATTATTAATAAGTTCAGCCATTGTAGGCGTGTAGTCTAAAAGATACTGACAAATATTAAATGATTCACTTACTTCGAGGCGTATACTGTTTAGAAAAGAAACTTTATCTATAAAAAGTATCATAATCACTCGTTTTGTTACACCAGCTGTCAAAAAGCAGCATTGTTAACTGTGTAAGCGTCAATGGCTTTGAAATCTATCAGTTTGTCAAACAGTAATTTTGTAAGGGTATTTGACTGGTCTTTCTCACATAGTAAGTGCAGGACCGAACTAAACTGGAAATGCATAGACAAGTTAAATGAGAAAATTTCAATAATCTACGCTACTGAGCTTAATTCACCTGGAGAACTGAAGACTGTTGTAGGCTACAAATTAATTTTTTTCACCGAAGCAGCAAACTTCTGTGTAAACAGTTTCTAAAACAAAACAAGTTTAATAATTCACTGATCTTATCGATATCTGCAGGAAAGCTACACAGATTTGTTTTCTATTTTCTCTCCTCATGAAGAAATCGAAATTTACGCATTTGAGTGCATTTTCAAAAGTAAATCCAATATATTAATACTTCTGTATATACACGCGTGTGAAATTATCAATAATTCGATGATTTTTTGTGACAAAAATCTTATCGATCCATATGGACTATTGACAAATTTATTTGCCAGATAGAAAGAAGCAAATTTAGGTTATACAGAAGTTAGTTTCACTTTGAAAATCAAGCCAATCGGCTATTTCTCATAGATATTGAGATATCCGTTGTTCACAGTAGCTAGTGATACCATTTACTTAGAATTCTGTAGACAGAATTCGACGTAAGTTCATAAATGATTGTGCAGAAATTAAGATCACACTAGGAACTCAGGATATTCCAAGCACTTTAATTTTCCCTGCATCTTGGAATAAAAGGCTCAAGTATTTTACTGGGGATTCATTCTGTTATATCCCTAAGGTGACCTACCCAATGTAAAACTGATTTAAGTATGCTAACCATGTGAAGAGGAGTTGTAAACTAATGGTCAACCGTGGAGCCGGCTGAAAACGACTAAAGAGAACAAAATGAAATAGAGATGTGCTGCTGAAGCCCTATGCTCCACTCGGAACATAAGCAAATAATAATAATAAGCATGGTTGGTCACTGATTAGTAAGTCAAGCTTTCTAGTTCTTGGCTCTTAACTGAAATTTGAATCTCCCATTATTTGTCTCCAATTGACCAAAATGATTTAGCTTTATTCACATATTTCCCACTGTGAAAGATGGCTCGAGGATTTAATTTGACAGTACGTATACTTCTAACTGTTCGGAACTAGTCAATTGGATGTGGCTGCGAATTGTCAAGTAATTTTGCTCTCATCTGTCAGGTGAAAGGTTTTCTATTAAGTTTGGATTAGAATGTACAAACCTTGTAGTTTGACAGTACTGAATGCCTAATAATGCCTGTTTCTATCGTGATAAGATAATATTCAAAATAAGCCTGTTGTAATTTACTGTGTCCGATATTTGTGTTATGATTTGTCCTTCCATACTAACATCATTAGCGTTTAGTTTACCGTTTTTATAATGCCGGCAGTTTGGATTTCATACCATTCTGTTAGTTAGGATTAGGAACGGCTCATATCTGTTCAAAGTACGCCTACTTACATACCTATCTTGTTGTCTCATTATCTATTCCTCTGGGCACCCCTTAACGGAAAATCAACTTGAAAAGTCATTACACAAAACATGCACGCTCTTTGATTCAGTCTCTAGTGGGGTTATGTGTTCTCGGTGATGAGAAGTCTTGAACCAGGGAAAAGCGGTCTTCCAGTTGTCCTTAGTTTCCGACTACTGTCTAGCTGATGCCGGTTGATGGCAGCATTTACCTTGGAATCACAGTCGAATTGGCCTAATCTTCTCATCTGATTAGTCTACTAATCTGATTACTGGTATATGGCCAGCCCATTTAGTCGGTGTTGTATTTTTTATGTTACAGCTTATTTATATAACCTCAGTGCTTTAAATTTGATGTAAGCATATGTCGATAGTCTTTTGAGAGTCGTTAAGTCCTATGAGAGTTCCTGGGTCACTCTAAAGACGTCATGTTTCGCAATCATCTTACTTTTAAGCCAGTCAAAAGCGAATGTTTTAGTTTACCCTAAAAATAAAACAAATTGGAAATGATGGAATTTCAGTTCGTCAATTCCACTTGAATTGTTAAGGGGAAGTAGAATTCCCTGATCAAGCCAAGCATACGTAGGTTGTTTTTTATTTGAAATTTAAATACCGCGAATGTGTTTCACAAACAAATGATCCCTACTGTTTGTTTTTGAGAAGAGTGATTAATCACTCAGTGTAATAATTCTCTTGACGAATATCATCTTCTAATTAATGGAATACTTCTGCTGCTTCAGCTATGTCCTAGTCATATGCATAGAGTAACTGTCCCTCTCCTGAGCTTATCTTATTACCTGAGTGAAGTTTTGATGAAATTTCGATTTTCATTGTCTAACTGAGTTAATGCCAGGCAGTAATCCTTCATCAAGTCTATAGACAAGGTGTTCAGGTCAGACAAAATATTAAAACTTAATTAGAATATTTACGAGACAATACGGAATAGAAAAACAGAAAAATACAACACTATTTTTCAAAGTGTTCCACGCCATGTTTATTGATATTAATCACATTATTAATATGAATAATTAAATTATAGAAGTATATAGCTATATAAACGTGTATGTCCAACTCTAAGATTTCTAAATGTTAATTAACACTGACATCTGTCTCGAATAGAATACAATATATTTAGTTCTAAATGTAAGTAATGAATATGACTGGAAATACTGACGATTCTAGTTCCCTTCATTGGGGCCTCACTAGCATACTTTTCTTTTTTGCACTGATGAAAAAATAACGGTTCTAGATCTATTAGTCTGAAAATATTCTATACATGAATTTTAGATAAGATTTTAAGGAAAGCGTCTGTCTCTTTCATTCCGGCTTATTCGTATCAGTTGTTCATATAAAGCATATAGGAATAAATAATCATTCCAGCTTGAATTTTCCTGATGAACTACACATGAATCTACTCAAGAGGCAATATAAGTACTTCCAATACTGAGAGATATTGGATCTGTAGGATTGCTATAACTTGTTGCTCACCTGAGTCGGTAATATGAAACTATCCACCTTGTGCGTAGATTTCTCTTTCTTTTTCACATTTCATCTCTCTCTAGTGAATGAACACTGTTCAGAAGGCACGTCTCAGTAAGAAAAAAAGGTTATTTTAGAAACTTCATACAATTATTTCCACTCATAAATTTGAGCAAAGCTCTGTTCAGAAATGTGTAATTTAACAAGAAAAGGCTTGTAGATTAACATGTGTAAATCAGTAAATGAACTGGTAACTGCATAGCGAATTTCAAATGTAGCACATTAGTATTCAACGTTCACGCATCATTCCCTGATTTCTTTGTTTTTTACTCAACTTTTTGAAAATTTTTTTCTTTAAGGAAAATCCAAACAACTGTGAAAGAAGAGAATCAATTAAACCTCCAGGAAACGCAATAACCAGAGAAGGGGAAGCAAGTAAAGCAGGTAGTCCGCCTTCAGTAAAAGAGAATATTGTCTCCAATGACTTGAGTAGTCCAAGTATACTCAAGCAGACACAAAGAAATGGTGCCTTAGAAGCAGACGAAGTTACTGTCAAAGATATTAGTAAGGGAGATGATCGACGAAAACAAGCAACCATTGATACTTAAAGTATGTATATATATGTATATATGTACATATATCT